TTGACCTTTGGACCGCCTCATCGTGGAACTAGCACAGCCTGACCTTGGGGTTTTGGTTGTTAACATCGTTCTTATTATTATCACATGCCATTTGTTAACAGTGATCCGGCCTTAAATTTCGCCGAGATTTCATTGTGCTCATTTGTAAACTCAAAAGAGGATTTAAATATCAAGGTCTAAGTTATTTTAGCACAAAAAAAAAAAAAAAAAAAAAAAAAAAAAAATTTTTTCTGCTGTTTTCTTTTGAGCAAGGAATTGGTGAATGTGTTTGATAAGATAATAAGATATGCGTCTGATTCCTCACCCAATAGTCACGAACCCAAATGACATCGAGGAGGTTGTGTGTGTGTGTTTAGGTTAGCCAACTGCAACTGTAAACTAACAAAATATCAATAAATTTTTTAAATAAATATTGTTCTAATAAAGTTGTTTTTTTAATCAGTGTAATTGCTCTTTCTGCGTTATCTTTTCATATTTGGGAGTCTAGGATGACTTTGGTCTGATAAAGTGGGGTTGTAGGTCAAATTGCTTCTTCACAATGAGTGTGATACTCACTCTGATTCTATAAAATGAGGGCATTCCATTAGTGGTGGGCAGTTGATCCATCTATAGCATCAATGAGACATTCTCGGCATAGTGTTGAATACTTAATCAGTATTGCTTCAAGAAAATGATTGAGTTCAAAGAGTTGCCAGTATAGTTAATATTGGTTAGAAATCAAATTCCGTGATCAATTTTCTTCAATGCGAATTCTGTGATTGACATTTATCATACACGTTAACAAAACGTTTGTTGAAAATAAGAGGAAGACGCATAGCACGTTGTGGCCCGGTTTCCATTGGTCTCTCACAAGAAAGTACTTTAACTTACTTACGACGGAATAGTTGATTTATTAAGTTAAAACTGAGTAGTTAAGATAAGATAAGATTATTTTATTGATCCAAGCAAATGGAAATGTTTTATGATTGCATAGTACATTTTCAGCACCTAAATAAAAAACAATTGAACACAAGACATATATATACATATATATATATATATATATATATATATATATATATATATATGAGTGAGATAGAGTCATATAACTACAAAAGGGAGATATGATATATAAATATTTTTAGATTCCAAAAAAATAATAATATATATTTTATATTATTTTATAAAAAAAAACAATAAAACAAAAAACATATATATACATATATATATATATATATATATATATATATATATATATATATATATATGAGTGAGCTAGAGTCATATAACGCCAAAAGGGAGATATGATATATAAGAATGTTCCGATTCCAAAAAAACAATAATAGTTATTTTCTATTATTTTATAGCAATTGAATGAATTTAAATGCGCAAAAAATATTCTAAATCCGCTTTTATTTTAGTAAACGTTTAAGTATTATTATTATAAATTACAAATACATTTAAAGTATCAACTAAGGAACTATTTTAAGCATTTGATATGTGTTTGAAAGTTATGAAAAAATAAAAAAACCATGAACAAAGAATTACCCCGTAATCACAATTATCGGAAAAAACCAAACATCAGTCTTTTTAGTGCGTCTTTTAGTGCGTTGTAAATATTTCCAAATAAAATTTTTAATTAATTTGTTCTAAATAATCATGCAAATGACGTCATAGCGCGAATAGCCTAATTTGCCAAAACTCTTAGGTTTCTTTAATTTAAACAGCCGCGCGTGACAAAACGGATAATGTATTTTCCCTTCTTAAAAGTAATATTAATAAAAAAACAATTGATTGCTTTTTAAATTGTTAATAAAACACACACACATTTTTGCTTTGTATGTTTTTACATTTAAAAAGTTTTGCCTTTTTTTTATTCCAAAAATATACTTTTATTAAATTTATAACGTAATAAAAATTAACTTTTAAATATAATTCTAATAAGAAAATGTGGTTTAAAACAATCCGTGCAGCGTAACTTCCATAGCTAAATAGCATTCACTAATCCACTTATACCTCATACAAATAAGAACGAACCATATGAAGTGCAAAATATGTTAGTTTTGGTATGGAAGGGGCTACAATCCGGTGGAAGATTTTGTACATTTTTTTTTAAATCTGGGGGAGAGGGGGAGGGGAGGGAAAGCGCCTGGTGACTTTGCCCCAGACAGCACAAGATACGTCTCAAAATAAAGGAATGAATTGGATAAATATTTAACCTTCTTGGGTACATACATATCGGAGGTAGGTAATAGGATGTGTCCATTTTTACGTCGATGAAAATATATTTAAATCCTATGGTATGATATTTGTGAAAAAAAAAAAGATGTTAAATTGTATACTTTTACTAATTAAGAAAATCAATCGCGTTAACAAATCGTGAGTACATTTATATAAGTTTATCCATGAATATCACAACCCAATCATTTTGCGCACTTGAAAATTAAATTTCGACAAATGAAGATGGGTTAATATTTTATTTATTTTTAAAAATGAAAATATATTTTGTTGTTACTTTGCAAAAATTAAAGAGGTGTGTATTTTTATGAGATGAACAATTTAATTTTTTTAAAGACAGTCAAATCTGATATAGGCGTGAAAAACAGTTGCGAGATTCTTCTAAGATAAAAGAATTTTTTCTTTTACGATTTTCTGATAATGTATAATTTTTTTAAAAAGGCTAAAATATGTGTAATTTTTTTATAAAGATATCAGGATTTATCGAATTCCTGTAATTCAAATTATATTTATATCATATATAAAGTTTTTGTTGTAAATTTAAGATGCAGTTTTTAAGAAATTTTGAGAGAAAAAAGTTGTAATTCAAGGGCACGAAAAGGGGTAAATCTAAAGTATTTCTCTAGCGTAGTGATTGTCCCCAAATTAACTTCTTTAGTGACAAATGTGATATAATTAGTGATAATTTAGAATGGGTAATTTAAGGTCATGTTTAGAGGGGGGGAAATAGTTTAGGAGCGTGAAAGGGTGTAGACTACGCGTACCCAATATATAAGATGAACACTTCTCAAAACGTAATGATGTTAGAAACGTAAATATCATTACATTTTAAAAATTATGAATTCGGATGAGTTTTTGCAATAGCAGTTAGAAATTATTGCAAAGGACCTACCATTATTATCCCGACAACATCGGGTCATTTATTCTATTTTATATTAATAGCTTATTTCACAGCCATTTAGTGAGCTCTCTTAACCACACCAGGGACTTATTAGTTCTCATTAAGATGTGTGACTTCAAGGGAGCACGCTGGTAAATTCGTACAGATTGGGGAACAAAATAATTTTTATATCTTTCAGTTCTTACTTAGTTAAAACGGAGAAGTTGATTTATTTAGTTCAAACTAGGTAGTTAACTGACTTAGTTGAACGGAATTGTAACTGTTTATTTATTTAGTTAAAACTAGGTAGTTAACTTACTTAGTTAAAACGGAATAGTTGATTTATTTAGTTCAAACTAGGTAGTTAACTGACTTAGTTGAACGGAATTGTAACTGTTTATTTATTTAGTTAAAACTAGGTAGTTAACTTACTTAGTTAAAACGGAATAGTTGATTTATTTAGTTCAAACTAGGTAGTTAACTGACTTAGTTGAACGGAATTGTAACTGTTTATTTATTTAGTTAAAACTAGGTAGTTAACTTACTTAGTTAAAACGGAGAAGTTGATTTATTTAGTTCAAACTAGGTAGTTAACTTACTTAGTTAAAACGGAATCGTTGATTTATTTAGTTCAAACTAGGTAGTTAACTTACTTAGTTAAAACGGAATAGTTGATTTATTTAGTTCAAACTAGGTAGTTAACTTACTTAGTTAAAACGGAATAGTTGATTTATTTAGTTCAAACTAGGTAGTTAACTTACTTAGTTAAAACGGAGAAGTTGATTTATTTAGTTCAAACTAGGTAGTTAACTTACTTAGTTAAAACGGAGAAGTTGATTTATTTAGTTCAAACTAGGTAGTTGACTTACTTAGTTAAAACGGAATAGTTGATTTATTTAGTTCAAACTAGGTAGTTAACTTACTTAGTTAAAACGGAGAAGTTGATATATTTAGTTCAAACTAGGTAGTTAACTTACTTAGTTAAAACGGAGAAGCTGATTTATTTAGTTCAAACTAGGTAGTTGACTTACTTAGTTAAAACGGAATAGTTGATTTATTTAGTTCAAACTAGGTAGTTAACTTACTTAGTTAAAACGGAATCGTTGATTTATTTAGTTCAAACTAGGTAGTTGACTTACTTAGTTAAAACGGAATAGTTGATTTATTTAGTTCAAACTAGGTAGTTAACTTACTTAGTTAAAACGGAGAAGTTGATTTATTTAGTTCAAACTAGGTAGTTGACTTACTTAGTTAAAACGGAATAGTTGATTTATTTAGTTCAAACTAGACAGTTAACTTACTTAGTTAAAACGGAGAAGTTGATTTATTTAGTTCAAACTAGGTAGTTGACTTACTTAGTTAAAACGGAATAGTTGATTTATTTAGTTCAAACTAGGTAGTTAACTTACTTAGTTAAAACGGAGAAGTTGATATATTTAGTTCAAACTAGGTAGTTAACTTACTTAGTTAAAACGGAATAGTTGATTTATTTAGTTCAAACTAGGTAGTTAACTTACTTAGTTAAAACGGAATCGTTGATTTATTTAGTTCAAACTAGGTAGTTGACTTACTTAGTTAAAACGGAATAGTTGATTTATTTAGTTCAAACTAGGTAGTTAACTTACTTAGTTAAAACGGAGAAGTTGATTTATTTAGTTCAAACTAGGTAGTTGACTTACTTAGTTAAAACGGAATAGTTGATTTATTTAGTTCAAACTAGGTAGTTAACTTACTTAGTTAAAACGGAATAGTTGATTTATTTAGTTCAAACTAGGTAGTTAACTTACTTAGTTAAAACGGAATAGTTGATTTATTTAGTTAAAATTGAGTCGTTAACTTTATTACGTCCATTTCATTTAACTTCTCTCCCTTGTTTCCTGGAAAATCCATGGAAGGCAGAACTATACCATTGACTGGTGTGACAGAGTTGTCGTAGAAAAAGTCAACATTGGGAATAACCAAGAATCTACATTCCCCGAATTCGGGAACCCCTAAGATCCTAAAACCCATAACGTTGTACAGTTGCACGTTATACCTTGTTACAGATGTGTAGCATATTTAAGAGTAACACACTAATTGACACATGCGACGTATCACGCTGCAACGACATCGAAAACGAAACTGGGCCATGATCCGAAATAGAAACAACACAAAACGCTAGCAACAGCTGACAGAGAAGAAGGACGTTATCTCAGCGCTGTGCTCTACACACCTGCCACTATTCAATATGGACCCAGACGAACTGGAGATACAGCATCAAGTAAGTGTTGATTGTTTGTAAACATATAAGCTGAAATTTTACTTACCGAAATTAAGGTTGAATACACTAGTGCCACTAAACTGAATTGAGGTCACTAACAATAACAGCGCTTTACAGTTATGATTGCGTGTTAGATATGAGACCTAGGGCCAGTGTTTTTTTTCACATATTTTCCCCGCGGGGGGAGGGGGGCACTTCAAATTTTCGGAGGGGGGGCACTTAAGATTTTTCGGGAGGGGGGGGGCAGTGCTAGCAGTTCCAGTTTATTTATTGTTGATCATATTTTTGCTTGGGGGAGGGGGGGCACTTGGCTTTTCCCGGGGGGGGGCACTGCCCCCCCCCCTCGAGATATAGCACAAAGAAAACCTGCCTAGGGCAGTAAGTGATTGCATTAATTAATTTTGGCTAATATTAATAATTTTGGTCTTTTAAGTGCAAGCAGTTCCAGTTTATTTATTGTTGATCATATTTTTGCTTGGGGGAGGGGGGGCACTTGGCTTTTCCCGGGGGGGGGCACTGCCCCCCCCCTCGAGATATAGCAGAAAGAAAACCTGCCTAGGGCAGTCAGTGATTGCATTAATTAATTTTGGCTAATATTAATAATTTTGGTCTTTTAAGTGCCTGGGTTATTATGGTTGAGAGGGCTTGTTTGTGGTTTTGGTGATTAGACCTGAACAAAGAAAATACTTCTACGATTTTTAGACAATTCCTACACAATAGGCTTACAATCCGAGGCTGTAAATGTGTGTATTTTATAGGCTAGTTATGTTTACACTGCATACGTGTAGCACATACAAATGCACAACACACACTTACACATGCATAATTTGTAACACACACTCGTCCTATCTAAGTTATAGACAAGACTCTTGTGGCCTGGAGACAACAAATCTTGTAGTGTCAAGTTTGTTTAAAATTCCATTATTCCATTTAATTGAAGAATTATTTTCAATTTGAACAACTTAAAAAAAGAAATTCCTTAGACGAGTAAATTGTTTTCCATTATTTAGTTTTTTTACATTATTATCCCCCCCCCTTTTTTTCCCCCTTTTTCCCCCGCACAAACACATACTTGCACCCCACAAACACACTTAAAAAATATTCATTTACATTTCATTGTGTTTGTCTGGGAAAAGAATTCATAATTTTTTTTTTTTGGTTTAAAACTAGAGCTTTTAAATTATTAATGATGACATGAAAGTCTTAAATATAAGGAGAATTGTTTTTAACCATTTGATGTTGGTCTAAAAAATAATGTTTTTATAATATATTTTATTGACGTCATGACCTCGTTTTACTGGTTCAAATTATATTAGAACTATGCAATGATTTTTCATTTTTATTTTACTTTAGCAGTTTAAATAGTTTACATATTTTTAATAATTGTAAAGCGCTAAGAGCTGTAAGGTAAGCGCTATTAAAAAAAATGCCTAAATAAATAAAAAATAAATGATTAAATGAGCACTTTGGGTTAAACAAACTTTAGGTGGGCCTGGTGTGTGTGTGTGGGGGGGGGAGGAAATAATAATAGATTTTTAAACTTTACTTGGTACGTTCGCTTGCGACAGACGTGTGAAAATATACGCTGTATAACAAGAATAATAAATAATGAATTAACAACTATGTTTGCACTTAGTGGATCGATACCATTGTAATGTGTGCCTTGATTTAATTTGGGGTGGGGGCGAGTAGGTGGGTTTGTTCTAGTTAAAACATACCATATTCAATACCTTATGATTCATTCAATGTGTGTCATGTTCTATTGAGGAAGGGGGGGGGGAGGGCTCAGTGTCGAAAAGAATCAGTCCAAATGGAATCTGTGTCGTGTTTTATTTGGTGATAGTTGAAAAGAGTCAGTACCGACAGTATGTGGTTCTTGTTTTATGGTGTGATACTTGAAAAGAATCAGTACCGACATAACGTGTTTCCTGTTTTACGGTGTAATACGTGAAAAGAATCGGTACCGATAGAATGTGTGTCGTAGTCGTGACATGCTCCCCGTGTGAAACACCCAGTGTGACGTAGTCGTGACATGCTCCCCGTGTGAAACACCCAGTGTGACGTAGTCGTGACATGCTCCCCGTTTGAAACACCCAGTAAGAGTCGGATGTAAATTAAATCCGTTCAAGAATATTGTCTCCGTTTACGGGGGCTTTAAGACAAGCTTCACTTGAATGTTCCCGTCAGTCTGAATGTTCCCGTCAGTCTGAATGTTCCCGTCAGTCTGAATGTTCCCGTCAGTCTGAATGTTCCCGTCAGTCTGAATGTTCCCGTCAGTCTGAATGTTCCCGTCAGTCTGAATGTTCCCGTCAGTCTGAATGTTCCCGTCAGTCTGAATGTTCCCGTCAGTCTGAATGTTCCCGTCAGTCTGAATGTTCCCGTCAGTCTGAATGTTCCCGTCAGTCTGAATGTTCCCGTCAGTCTGAATGTTCCCGTCAGTCTGACAACTTTAAATCAGGAAGTCGTGTGAATCGTCCCTTCAGCCTTACAGCTTTAAATCAAGAATTCGTGTGAATCTGCCCTTCAGCCTGATAGATTTAAATCAGGAAGTCATGTGAATCTGCCCTTCAGCCTGATAGATTTAAATCAGGAAGTCATGTGAATCTGCCCTTCAGCCTGATAGATTTAAATCAGCAAGTCATGTGAATCTGCCCTTCAGCCTGATAGATTTATATCAGGAAGTCATGTGAATCTGCCCTTCAGCCTGATAGATTTAAATCAGGAAGTCATGTGAATCTGCCCTTCAGCCTGATAGATTTAAATCAGCAAGTCATGTGAATCTGCCCTTCAGCCTGATAGATTTAAATCAGGAAGTCATCTGAATCTGCCCGTCAGCCTGACAGATTTAAATCAGGAAGTCACGTGAATCTTCCATTCAGCCTGACAGCTTTTAATCAGGAAGACGTCATTGCATTAAAATTTAGAAGAAAGAAAAAAACTCCCTACTTTTTTGTTGTTTAAGCTTATACGTTGTTTATCAAGGCTTAACTTTTATGGCTTGAAGTATATTTTTTAAAGTGCTATATTAGCTTTGCAGGGTTCATCCACACTCTCTCCAAATCAACTTGATATATGACGTATTTTAGTCTCACAGTGCAGCCTGTCTCCGGGTTAAGAGTTAGATCTGCAGAGTTCGCAGCTTTAATCAAATGGACGTGTGTGTTGGGGGAAGAGGAACAAAGTGTACATACCTGGCATGCCAATCAGTACTAAACATTACGTTATTACAAATACATACCTGGCATGCCAATCAGTACTAAACATTACGTTATTACAAATACATGCCTGGCATGCCCATCAGTACTAAACATTACGATATTACAAATACATACCTGGCATGCCCATCAGTACTAAACATTACGATATTACAAATACATACCTGGCATGCCCATCAGTACTAAACATTACGTTATTACAAATACATACCTGGCATGCCCATCAGTACTAAACATGACGATATTACAAATACATACCTGGCATGCCCATCAGTACTAAACATTACGTTATTACAAATACATACCTGGCATGCCCATCAGTACTAAACATTACGATATTACAAATACATACCTGGCATGCCCATCAGTACTAAACATTACGTTATTACAAATACATACCTGGCATGCCAATCAGTACTAAACATTACGTTATTACAAATACATACCTGGCATGCCCATCAGTACTAAACATTACGATATTACAAATACATACATTATGCCTATGAGTACTAAACATTACGATATTACAAATTTTAATACATACCTGGCATGCCCATCAGTACTAAACATTACGTTATTACAAATACATACCTGGCATGCCAACCAGTACTAAACATTACGATATTACAAATACATACATGATGCCTATCAGTACTAAACATTGCGATATTACAAATACATACCTAACATGCCCATCAGTACTAAGCATTACGTCATTACAAGTAGGTTCAAGATCAAATCCAGTCCCTTGTCGTAGGGTCCCTAAATGAGGTTATCATTGTCTTTACATTAATGGGGCTTTTGCTGCAGCCTGACACACGGGCTAGCATGCGTCATCCTACCCTGGTGGTCAGCCTTCCAGATGTGTTAGTGTGTATAACAATACCCTTGTGGTCAGTCCTTACATACTATTGTTCACATATATTTACAGGCCAAACAACTGCGTGAATTGTTTAAAGGTCGCTTCACACAGAATGAGTTGGTGATGGTCATTAAGGAATTTGGTGGGAAACTTCCAGCCCTTGACTTTATCATCAGAGGTAACATAGTCTCATTAAATGAACATGGACACGCCATTTAACCTTCGTGCTTAATGACTTAATGTTGATTTTATTTTATGTTAAATAATGCACTGAACTTTTTAAAAAACAAACAAACTTATATATAAACATTATATTATTTTTTCAAGAATAAGTTATTATTTTTCAAGAATAAGTTATCATTTTTCAATCATATTTCATGAATTTACAAGAAACTCAACTAGTAGGTTAAAACATTGGTCTGTGTGTCTCTAATCACACATTTCAAATTAGTAAATCATTTGAGTCAAAGAATATATTTTATAAAAACATCTAAGCTTGTTTTACTTTCTAACAATATTAGAATGAAATTGTCTACAGTAACATTGATAATCTGTGATACTTAAGTTTTCCTTTGACTGTATTGATAAATATTTGATTTCGTTTTTCAAACTTATTTAGAGGATCCTGGAGTTGTTAGTCAGTTTCTAAAAAAGGTAAAAATAATCTCAAAACCAGCATTTCTTTGTGCCGTTTAGTGAAATTAATTACTCAAATTATTTTTTTTAAAAACTCTATGTGTTTGTCTGTTGAAATACCAAGACGTGCGTGTGTGATTATTATAAGAGTGGAGAGACTGCAATTAGGTTAGGCAGAACGAATTATGTGGAAAAAGGTATGGAAAAGGACGCAATAATTCAATGAACGTGTCGGCAAGACGCCTTCTTCACCAAACAAACAACGAGAAACACAAATATAAAAATGATACAAATGAGACTTAGCTAAAATGTAATAGAGAGGACAACAAGAGGAATGTAATAGACCTTCAGTCTGTAGAGAATTAATAAAAGCAATTGCGAAAGAAAGAAAGGATAAGTAAGTCAACAGTGACAAAACGAGGTGGTGAGAAAAAATTTCACAAATGAAAAAAAAACATGACATTCGTGTCAAGGTCCCATGCGTGTGTTTTAGTATGTTTTCTTATTTCACCCTGGCGGGCATGTTGGTCCTGGAAACAATGGCGGTGATGGCCAAGTCGCGAGAGTCCTTGTCGTCACTTCTAGTGAAGTGTTTTCTGATAGGACCCGTTTAAATTGCGCAATATTTTTAAGAAGTTTAGTACCGTACATTTGTCTGAGAGACGCCCTTCAGTGTCGCCCAGATATGCCTCATGGCAGCAGGTACAAATTCATTTAAAAAATAGATTTCTGATCTGGGCCAAAGATGTGAAAGTGTAGATCTGTTGAAAAAATATGTTGTATTAACTTGTTTATATCATATCACCACATTCTAAGATAACAACCTGTACTTCCGGTTATCCTCTCTTACTGTCAGAAAATTATCTTATACTGTCCGAAAAATAACCTTTATTGTCAGAACATTATCTTATACTGTCCGAAGTTAACTTTTACTGTCAGAACCTTATCTTAAACTGTCCGAAAATTAACCTTTATTGTCAGAACATTATCTTATACTGTCCGAAGTTAACTTTTAATGTCAGAACATTATCTTCTACTGTCCGAAAATTAACCTTTACTGTCAGAACATTAACATGTTCTGTTCGATTTCGGACTTGTGTGACCTTAATGAATATGTTCTCTTTCGGTTTGACACAGAATAAAAGTTACATACAAACTTTGCAACAAGACTCACAGAACCTGTGTCGATGTCTGGAGGAAGGTATCAACATAGAGTCCAGCAAGCGACAGTTTGCATGCAGGAAATGTGAGCGGAGCTGGTGGAAGGTCGTTCCTATCCGGAAAGAGGTTCAGTTTGTCTGTTAGCCGTGTATAATCTTAACGTAAACTTTTAGTGCTATTCCTTTTTCTCCTTCAGGCCTTCATAAATGACTTCACGCGATTTAGTCCAAGTTTTACCCCCCCCCCCAAATTCAAGCATTGTCAGACTTTTGTCACATAATTTAGCCAGCCTCATAACACATATCCATCATCCACGTCATCCAGCTCCCCCATTTGTGGATGATTCCTGTTTTAAAAAAAAGATATATAGGCCTACCTATTATTAAGAATATAATTCTGAATGAGGATCAATATCTGCACCGTTTATTATTTTTTGTAAAGTATCTCAGTTATAAATGGACTTAGTTCTGTTCCTTTCTTTTTGTAGACCATAACAGTTAGTTGTTGTTTTTTTTTACAATGTCTTCTACAGGTCAGTATGTGTCGGGTTTGTAGGGTCAAATTCGACCCCATTCCAAGAGACAAGGAATGGGGTATTGGTGTCTTCTATTGCTTGGGGGAAAACTGTGGGAAAGAATTTAGGTAAGTCTTGCACAGCCATCTATCTGTTGTAATGTTGATTCAAAGTTAAATGATAATAATTGTATGGGTTTTTTTCGTTTTTTTGCTTTCACTTAAAATTAATTTAATCAGGGGAGGTTCTAGCGGGAGGGGGTGTATTATAATTTTAAAAAAATAATAATTTTACAAATTATTTCTTAATGAATTTAGGAAAGCAGAAAAAAATAACTAATGTATTTTACAGACTATTTGAAATTGAAAAATTGCCTCCAAAATTCAAGTGCGTCTTATACTCAAAATTAATATAAAAATGGTAAAAATGTTATTTATTTTTAAAAAAATGCTTAAAAACTAAGGTGCGTCTTATACTCAGTAAAAAATGGTAGCTTAATTTTCTGTATATTCTAATTGAAAAAAAAAAAAAAAAAAAAAAAAAAAAAAATAGATACAAAAATAAGTCCCTTCTGTTTTCTTTTAAATCGTTTATGAAGTCTTCTTACAAATAGAAATAGAAGGCTATATATACATTGCTGTTCTTTATTTCATAAATGTATTTTATTTTAATTTCATGATTATGTCTCTTTTGATAAAGTTTTTATGTACAGCACGGTGAGCCCAGCCTTAGGCTGGGGTACCGCGCTATATAAGACCTCTTATTATTATTATTATTATTACAATATAGATTGATAACTTTTAGGAGTGGCTGACTAGAAGACTGACTGTCTATGCTTCTCTCCCCAGAGGGTTTGCTGTGATGGGTATGACAGAGAGCATGTGTCACAGATGTGGCTTTGATTCACCTGTTGATCATATTTTACCTCCACGGAAAAAAACTGGGGAAGAAAGGCGAACTCGTGATAACCATGGGTGCAATGGTATCAACTGCTATAATGGGTAAGGTGAAAAGTCATTTGAATAGGACATCTGCAAATCTAATTGGAAAAGTAATTAGAATATGACATCCACTACTAAAAGTATAATTGATACAATCATGAATACAAAATTAACAGTAAAAATGGTTTAATTCATTGAATATAAAATCAACATCTCCTATGGATCCAGTTTTCTTTAGATTAAATTAATTCTTATAAGTTGACAATACTTTTAAATAAATCATATCAGCAAACAAACTTTTTTAAAAACACACACACACATTAATATATATATATATATATATATATATATATATATATATATAATTTCATTTTAAATCTTGTTAATATTTCTTTTGCATTTTTCTTTTTAGATCCAGAAATCCAAACAGGGTAAGAAGGGATTTAAAAAAAAAAATTAAGCTGATCTGTTTCAAGGAATACATTTTTAAAACTATAATTACACATTCTTTTAATTATAAGATTATCATTTATGTATATGATACATAACTTTAAAATGACCATTAAATTTAATTTAGACATAAACTGAAATTTTTTTTTCAAACTTCTGCAGGGGAGGTATAATTATTGGCAAAACAGTAAGTAAATAAACGTGTCTAATACATCTACGATATTTATGTATTATTTTTAAGAATTATTTCCATTAAAATTTTATGTAAGACTCAATTTTCTCAGTAATTAAGATTGGAAAACAGAAATAATTCTGCCATTAATTTAGCTAAAACATGTTTTAGTAACTGAAATAACTTTTTTGAAAGTTTTTATAAGTTACCCTATCACTAAATAAATACAATTTTTTTTTTAGATTAAAACATGCTCACCAACCAATTCTTATAAAAACATATAGTACTAATTAATCACTGGGATGTCTTCAAATTAGGCCTATTCAAGAAATGTTGGAAAAAATTATTTTTTAAACAAAAATGAAAGTTATAATTTTTAAAAACTAAAATGAACAGGGCATTGTCATAAAGAAAGCACACCTGATCACAAAATATCAACAATAGACACTGTTTAACTATTTTTTTAAAATATATAAAGAATTTGATATAATTGTGCAATATTAATGTTAAATTAAAATAAGGCGAGACTTTTCAAAAGGAAACTTTTTATTATTTCTGTAGGCAAGCCAGCCATTTGCATACACCCAAAATCCAAAGCACAGAGACCTCCAGATGCCAGATTCAGAACCTGGAGTGCAGAACACCGATCTACAGGATCAACTGTTTCAACATTCCTTGATCAGCATAGCATTGATACAGGGTCAGGAAGTTTTGCCTACACCATGGAAACTATAAGTATTTCTGGCAGTTCTAGGAGGAACTAACTGCAGATAAACGTCCAGTGTTTTGTCGCTTTACAACTACGGTGAACATGCCAAAAAATAAATTACTATTTTGTTTATTTCTCTTTCTAAAACTTATAATTGTTTTCATTCAAATTATTTTTAATTAAATAGAACCTTATACTTAATGCCAAGTTCAAAAAGCTTAACAAGCACACTAAAAACAAGGGAATGGGTTTTGAAGGGTTAATGTGTGTAGTGAATTAATTATCTTGCTTTTCAGTGAATACAGACTTACCTTTAACAAGGCAGGCCTCAGCTAGGCTTTTCAAAAACAATATGTTTACTTAAATCATTTTAATATTAATTGAAGTACTATCACATCATTGTTCTATTGGTTTGTCATGATTCCTAAGCTAGTAATACTGTAAATACAACAACTGGTAATTGTTGAAAAATTCTTTTGATAGAAACCATCAGGAAATACTTCCAATTTTCCTGGTGATGTACCTAGGATTAGTGCAGATTGGGGAGGGACAAGGATTTGTTGCCTCATTTCCATGAAAAAAAAACCTGCAGTTGGATGAAAATGCTTTCCCTCTTATATACCAAACATAAATAACTCCAAGACACCACCAGTCCTATACCACTGAGTATTCCACTCCTTGGGGGCAGCTTGATGTATGTTAAAATAAAGTTAATTAATTATAATGTTAAACTCTGTTTAATTTTCTTGATGCACAACTTACGCAATGAGTGAAAAGTCTTTAAGAGTACAAAAGTTTTCTTTAAATTTTTGCTTGTCATTTTCTTTTATAATGACCTTAAATGTACTCTACATTCCTTTGAGATAATTGAATTAATTTTTTCATTTTGGGAATGCATTCCAGCAACTAGGCCTTTAATAAAGAATTTAAATTTTAAGAATCTTCATTCAAAATTCAATAGATACTTCTGTAATAGATATACCGTATTGTGTTGCCCATTAAATTAAGCTGTTTAAAAATTGTGGGCCCATGATATAGGCCCTATATTTAAATGGAATTGTTTGAGCTTATTTATACATAAAATGAAAGTTGTTGTTCAGATATCAATTCATTTAATTAAAATTTAGGAATTAAGTAGAAATTTAAAAAAAAAATTATCTAGAGCATTCTAAATGGAAGACAAAGAAAGGTAGTTGGGAGATAAACAAAATGAAATCTGGAGAAAAAAATATTTTTAGTCACTTTTGTGGTCAATTTTACTTTAGTTAAATACTAAATTTAAAAAAAATTCCTATTTCTATTAACCAGCTTGATATATTTTCCACTTTATTTGCTGATTTATATTTCATAAAAAATTATCATTTAATTAACATATTTATGTCTGCTCTTAATTTTGCTATAATTTTGCTGCAGTTCTTTAACTTTTTTTTAGTGCATTGTCTGGTTTGTAAACTATCTAAATCAAAGACATTATATTTATTTTGATGTTTGTACTCTTAAATACTGTCTGCTATAAACATTACACTTTTCTGACAGAAGGAGAAATTCTTGTTCAGCTTGTCTCTAGACAGGTTGTGAAAATATAAAAATGTTGATAGAAATAATGGATATTTTCTTTTATATTTACATCAAAACCCAATTCAACTTTTAAAGATATTTAGATTTGTATGTTCCTAGCATATTTATAACAAAGAAAGGACATGTCCATTAAATCAAAAGTAAATTTAGGCCCTACCTTTTATGACATTATTAATGTTACATCAGTGTTATATATTTAGTGTATAAATCAGTTGATCTTTAATGAAAGATCTGTACTGTATCATCTGTCATTATGGATCGTACCATATACCATAATTATGTACTGTACGCTTTGCCATACTTATGTGTTGTACCATCTGACATAATTATGTATTGTAACATCCGCCATAATTAAGTATTGTACCATCTGACATAATTATAATTCAAATTTCATTTTTACTGTGTGTCCAAAGGCATAATAATCATAATGTTTTACAATGTCTTAGAAGAATTCAGCATATACAAAAATAAATATGTTGTGACTTTATGATTTGATCTCTAATATTATTGTTACAAGTAAATCAGGATTAAAAGGTACATTCCTGTGAAGAATTAACTGTTCATGTAAGATTTAAAAAATAAAAAACACATTCTTACAGTTACACCTTTTTGTTGGATGTTAGATCACATGATTGTAAAATACATTTGATGTAACAACTTTAATGTAAGACACTTGACTGAATCTTTAATGTAAGACCAATTGATTGAATGTTTACTGTAAGACCACTTGATTGATTGTTTACTGTAAGACCACTTGATTGAATGTTTACTGTAAGACCACTTGGTTGAATGTTTACTGTAAGACCACTTGATTAAATGTTTAATATAAGACCACTTGTTTGAATGTTTATTGTAAGATCACTTGTTTGAATGTTTACTGTAAGTTCACTTGATTGAAGGTTTACTGTAAGATCACTTGATTGAATGTTTACTGTAAGACCAATTGATTGAATGTTTACTGTAAGACCACTTGATGACTTGTTAAATGTAAGACCACTTGATTGAATGTTTAATTTAAGACCACTTGATTGAATTTTTAATGTAAGACCACTTGATTGAATGTTTAATGTAAGACCAATTGATTGAATCTTTAATGTAAGACCACTTCATTTAATGTTTAATGTAAGATCACTTGATTGAATGTTTAATGTAAGACCACTTGATTGAATGTTTTATGTAAGACCACTTGATTGAATGTTTAATGTAAGATCACTTGATTGAATGTTTAATGTAAGACCACTTGATTGAATGTTTACTGTAATACCACTTGATTGAATGTTTACTGTAAGACAATTGATTGAATGTTTAATGTAAGACAACTTGATTGAATGTTTAATGTAAGTCCACTTGATTGAATCTTTAATGTAAGACCACTTGATTGAATGTTTAATGTAAGACCATTGATTGAATGTTTAATGTAAGACCACTTGATTGAATCTTTAATGTAAGACCACTTGATTGAATGTTTAATGTAAGACCACTTGATTGAATGTTTAATGTAAGACCACTTGATTGAATGTTTTATGTAAGACCATTTGATTGAATGTTTAATGTAAGACCACTTGATTGAATGTTTAATGTAAGACCACTTGATTGAATGTTTAATGTAAGACCACTTGATTGAATGTTTAATGTAAGACCACTTGATTGAATGTTTAATGTAA